TTACTTTTTGATAAATAATTCGTTATTATTGCGAAATAGGAGCACTATTTATCAATCCGTAATAAAAGACGTGAGGAAATTCTGTCTTTTTTAAAGACAAACATTTTTGAGGCGAAATACCCAAAAAGAAGTTTGTAAAAAAATAAGAACTTTTAGCTATGACGTGACACAAAAACTGCCCCAAAAACTACCAAAATAAAAGACGAGATATTGGTAAACATTTATTCAATAATGCAAACTAAAGTTAATCTTCCAAAAGTGGCGTAACATAAATCAACTACACACACGAACGATTTATTTGCAATGCGTCAAAAAATAACCCGCTTCTTCATTCCAACTGGTAGAGGAGTGACGACAAAAAGACGAATATTTACATAAAACATATTCTCTTGCCCATCGGAAGAAACTGCTGGACGATGAATGAAGTTGCGCCATTGGGGAGAACGGAGTTTCACAGATAAACTAGCGGTTAGAGGGAGGGTTTTAGACTGCTCCAACTATATACAGACAGGCGAACTTTGAACCTAATCTAAGAGCGTTAACACACATCGCCGTCATCTTGAAATCACCAACTCAAATTGAGATCGAGAGCACAACGCTTACAGTACTTATTTGCTAACGACCTGAACAGGTTTACTGAAAACATCAGCCGCCAGCCAGTAGAAATAATCGATTCGTTTTCGGACACCCGAAAAACTATCGAAGCACGGTTAGAATGAAATCAGGAAAAGAGTGGCTTGTATTGAATTTAAATGTACATAGAATGTGGCAATCGGCTGGATGTGCATGCGTTATCACGATTCGCCGTTACCGCTGTCATTGTCGTCTTCATCGCCATATTCCGAATTGTCTGACAGATCGTCGTAGGCCTCGTCGTAGTCATCGTCGTAGAAATCCGTCATTTCTACTTGAGACTCGGAGTTGCTGGGTTTAACCTAAAAAAAAAAAAAATCAGTAAACCTCCCGCTAACCCCAACTCTTTAACTGGATTTACTTGAGTTTTTATGCAGTAATCTTCGAGTGTGAGTGGCACTTGGATCCCGTCACGTTCCGCTTCAGCTCTGGCTGCCATTGCTTGCTTCCTAAAACCACAGAAAAAACAAGTTATTTCCTGCGTCGATCTGTCAATCGCACGTCAGATGTCATGCTTCCATTGGGGGCAACGCGTGTCATTCAGTCAAAATACCAGGCCGATTAAAAAACTTACCTCACAATGAAACTAGTGGGTTTTTTCCGGTATTTAGGCTGTCGTACAATATAATTTATTCCTGACGTTTCGCAAGCACGAGTGGCTTGCATCTTCAGAGGTGGTTTGCTTGAATAGTGCAGAAATTCTATTGTTCGACGGGCTAAAAACCCGAAAACCCACTAGTTTCTCTCTGACTCTCTTTTGATTACCTGATAATGTTCTCGTATTCTTTGTCGCGCCCTTTGGAGTCGCGCCAACGACGGTACATTACAGAAGCGTCCACGTTGGCAGGACTGAACGTGTTCGGTTCATTAAGCAGGGAAATGACTGACAGAAGGATCGTTCTGACGTTTTGAGTGGGGTTCCAACGTTCGCAGGGCAATTCGCCTGATTGCGGATCGTCGATTGGCGGATGCAAAATGCTGATGCACAAATCGCCATTCTGTAAAACGTTTGACTAATGAGAGCAATGTTGATGAAACGTTTTAATAATGAGGAAGACTTTGTCTCTGGACCGCCCTTAAGAATACCAAAAAACAGGCTCAGGTATTCGACTAATGAAAATCGAAGGTTCAACTGTCTAGTTTAACAGTCCGCGTAGTGAATAGCGACTTGGCAAGTAATTCCATGGTGGCCATGAATCTTTGTTCCTGTTCCGAGCGCGTTTTTCACCTATCTAGACGCTTTGATGATGGGTTAATAACCCTGCCGAAACACATTTGCTCCGAAATAACTGTTCTTGGCAAACGACGAATCGTCAATGTTTTATATCGACTCAAACTTTACCCGATACATTAAACGCATTCGAACAATAGCATTTCATTATTCTTTGTCCTCAAAACATAATTGATTCGGGCAAAAATTGAACCTCTATCTGCCGACAAATTATCGATTTTTCACCTGAAAGCATTAAAAATTCATCTGGATTTGTTCCAGAATAGCAGCAATTCTCCGCGCACAACCGAGCTATTTAACATTTCACTTATAAAGGAAATTGCTCGTAAAATATTTAAAGGTCACCGTACAATGGAACAGTTTACAGTCAACATGCCATTGGGAGTATCACTAGTTTCTACTTGAAAAATAAGCTGCGTTCCAAATGATCAACTGTCGTTGTTGGCAAATTTTCCTTTCTAAAGCTCCAGCCCCCATACTAAGAAAGCATTTCTCGAATATGAAATTCAAGGTACAGTTGCTGAGCGCAAATAGTACGACTTTCACTGAACAAACACCAACTTATTAATTAAACGCTTATCTTGGCCGCACTACTTAGTAAGAAACGTGGTACTCGTTTCAATATACAGGGTGATTCAAAATTGACGTCATTCCCCTGGAGTTGTTGTCTGGGTGTGTCTTGGGAGTACAGAAAAAATAGTAAAGATTTTGATGTTATTAAAAACTCAGATATTTGCAAAAAACTTGATCAGAAAGATGGCAACAATGGTTTTCAAGGTAATCTGCCTAATTAACATTACGTAAATGCTTGTTTCTTCGACAAAACAGCCCCCCGAGCGCTGTCATCTTTTTGGGACAAATGAGGGCTATACCTAAATCGGTCACAACTGTCATCCAAAACCACTTGTTAAGGTTATGTATCATTGATCAAATAAAATACAATTCTGTTGTTAAAACACAAGGAGTGGTCCCAAAAGCAAGAAGTCCTGCCCGTTTCACTCCAAATATCTTTGTGTTCCAATCACTTTGAGTCGGGGCTCATATTTTGAGCAGCTTCTCGTGTTGGGTTAATTAACTGCTGCTCAATTTGAACCGGTGTTCGGAAGATCAGATGTTTAATTTGTTCTAGTGTTCTGCGCATATCACATACATGGTAGGAATCTAGGCCCTTCCTCTATTGTGGTTCTTTGGCTTACACTGTCATACTTTAGTTTTGTAGCATTGAAATGCAAATTTTGTTACTCCTTTTTTACCTCTTCTCCTCAGCCTCCTGCAGGGGCGGATCCAGCTTTAAAGTCAGGGGGGGGGGGTTATGTAGAAAAAATACAGGCTTCTGTTGTCTATGAAATTAGAAAAATTATCGTCGTTTTGTGCAAGGGTGGTGTAAGATTATTGCAAAATTTCATGTTTTCCGTCCCGTTTTGCATGTTTCTCGGAAG